GTGGAGACGGGTCATTTTGACCCGGAGGACAAAGGGTGTATACAGAAAATGAGGACAACAGGAGGGTTAAAAGTTGGTAATATCAGTTGTCCTTTTGTAACAGATCTAGTTGAATGACCACCTCCAGAATTTGATTTGGGCAGCAATGCACAGAGAGTTCCATAACTGGCACCTTGGAAGATTTGAAAATATAAATTAATACTACTATACAAAACATAATTCTGAAAAGTCAAGGCATCAGACAATGAAAGAACTGTACAGTGATGAATACAAGCATGTTCATTATCTTAGCATGTACAATACCCCCTTTTTAATACTATTTTTTCTTAATCTCCACAGGGATGGCCTGGATTTGATGTGATYGGTGCTGGTGATGGCAGAAGGGACTGACATTGGCGAAATGCCCTCTTTTGACCAATGTCCTGGTTCAGAAACGAGAAAGAGACCTACATCTTCTGATGGCCGTGAGTTGTCACAGTTGTATTAGAGGATTAAATTCTCAGTTTTATTGTTTTATATTGTTAAATATTTCTTTTATAAATATGAAGTCTACTAAACCACAACAAACTGATTTGCTGATAGTTACAGAATTGCAGAAAACTCTTAAGCTGCTTTTCATCATGTTTGTAAAATTTTGCTCCAGGGAGCTCAATTTTTCTTTAAGTTTAAAACCTTTTCCAAATTAACAAGCTTTCTTAATAACTATTACATAGAATTTATTTTTGTTGTTTGATATTGTTTTTATTTTGTTTTATAATTTTCCTTATATGTAGGACACATATTTTGGATGGCGCAATTTTGTTGTCAGCAGTTTTGTGGTCATTTGCAGTGATTGGACTAAAAACTAATTGAAATAAAAGGTTAAAATCCCAGGGAAACTTTGCGCACAGTGATGTAAAATATTCTAGGCCCTGAAGGGGAGCAGATGTTGAATTAGTTGTAACATTTGTAGCTTTCACTCATGTTTTGTCCTAAAATGTATCCTGCTGAGTTTTACTCACAGCATAAAGCCAATTAATCATGCAGAGAATGTTTTTATAAAAAAATAGGAGTGTGTAATTAATTTTTTTTGCAAAATCTTCCGAACATATGAAAAATGAGACATTTTTTCTTTGGCTTGTTTACCTTTTAGTCAGACATTGTCCTGATGTAATCACGAGGCAACTGATTAGACTTTATTTTTAACACAGAGTCTTGTTTTTGCAGGAGACGAGCCCATGAGGAAAATGCCTGTCACAAAATTTAGTTCCAGACCTCGCTTTGAACCTGTGCACTTCGTCAGCGGTGGAAGCAGTGGAGGAAGCGGCACTGATGAGAAGGAGAACGATAAGGAGCGCAGGAGGACTGAGTCGTACGGGGCGAGACAGCGGGACTCTCAACACTCCTCCTCCCACAGCAGCAGCAGCAGAGCGCAGGGCTTCTCTTCCCTCAGGCCTGCTTTTGACCGCATGCCATCATCCTCGAGGGACTTTTGGGGTTCCCATAGAGACCGAGCTAGTGACAGAGAGATTTCCTCAGGGAGCACTAGTGGACTAGGTTATGGAGGTCGTGAGCTTTCTTTAAATTTCATGTCAAAAACGCAGTATGACTACACAGCCAAGTATGAAGCCCACACCTCTTCTCACAGCTTAGACTCTTATACCAAGCCCCAGAGATTCAATGGATATGGGGGTGGGTGCAGGGACAGAACTGGAGGCTGGGATTTAGGACGTCAGGGTTTGGGCTATGGTCATCAGGACAGGCTGTCATCGAGCGGGCCTTTTAGTAGAGTCTACAACAGCCCGGGCAGGAGCATTCATTCCAGTGTTTCCCAGTCTGGATCTTTGCAGCCTCTTCCAATATCTCAACCCACATTTGCTGAAAAGCAACGGCTGATCATTCATGTTGGTAACGCACTGGCTGCGGCCTTCAGGGACCCCGTTTTAATCACTGGGAGTGACTCGCCAAATTATAATTTCATGTTGAGCCGCAGCATCCAGGCTTGCAAAACCAACCCAGAGTACATTTATGTCAACCTGAAGGATATTCCTCAGGCTGACCTGCCAAAGAACAGGAAAGTCCCAACAGACGGTTACGCCTGTGAACTGAGATGTCAGGGTGTGTATCTGGCTACTGGATACTCTGGCAGTAAAAACGGAGCGAGGGACCGGGCTTCTGAGCAGGCTGTGAAGCTTTTCCTAAAACCAGTCGAGGTTCGTGTTGTGCAGCGTAAATACAGACACTTGATGGTCAACGACATGGTTGTGTGCCAGATGCACAGCCCGACGCCAGCATTCCTACCTGCGCTCCGGAATCCAGAAGACAAACCAGCGCCCAGCTCTAAGGGCCAGTATGAGCCCGACCGCCATAAACCCTGGACAGAGTTCGTGGTGATGGACAACGCTCACGACGCCATCTGCATTTTGAACAACTCGAACGCTTTCAATCGCATGAAGATCGACTACAAGTTTGAGCAGCTGCCCAACAATTCGTGGCTGTGCAGGGTTTTCCTGCAGGACGAGCTGGTAGCGGAGGCAACGGGATCTAAAAAGAGCTCRAAGCACGCCGCCGCCGAAGAAGCGGTAAAAAAGCTCCGCTTGAACCAAGCACAACGAGAACAGCAGCAGCAGCAACAATCGCAGTACGTCAGAGGAAATAACCAGCTGGATTCCAGTGAAAGCTTTGGGCCACAGGGTAACAGGAAGAAGCAGCTGAGTGAGCTGGTGATTTTGGAGAACTCTGATAACGCCATCTGCATCATTAACGACACGGCTCAGTTTAATAAAGTGTCTGCTGATTACAAATTCTCCGTGCTGCCTGATCATCGCTGGAAGTGTGAAGTTTACCTTGAAGGGCAGTACGTYGCTGCAGGAATCGGTCCAAAGAAAATAGTGAAGCACATTGCGGCGAACGAAGCTTTAGTCACTTTGAGACAGACCCAGGCTGTGGTCAAATCAAACTTGCGCAAGGAGGGACACAGCGACGCTATATCCCGCTCTCAGATTCTGGCTCGCTCCGGCGAGGAGGCCATGAGGCAGGAGATCAAGGAGGACAACATCGGAAACCAGCTGCTCCGCAAGATGGGCTGGAAAGGCGGCGGCCTGGGCCGAGACGGGGAAGGCATCGCGGAGCCGATCAGAGTGAAGGAGCAGTTCTCCAGAGAAGGTTTGGGTATGGACATGGACAAAACAGGAAATCAGCTCACCAAGCGAGACATCGAGGACATCATTCGCAACTACGCTGGCTCAGATCGAACGGACGACCTTCGATTCTCCAACGAACTCACCAACGACGAACGCAAGCAGATCCACCAGATTTCTCAAAAATACGGCCTGCGGAGCAAGTCGTACGGACAGGGGCGGCAGCGCTTCCTTATCGTCAGCCGGAAAGTTCACAAAGACCAGCTGATCGGCCAGCTTTTACAGGAAGGACAGGTGGGACGATATGAACTTATCAAACCTCAGGCCTCTCATTAAAATGCATGAAAAACATGAGCAAGTTTCCATCAACTTGGACTTGAAAACAAAACATATCAYGAGTGTATGTCTGTCCCAACGTGACACATTTACTGAACACTTAACAGATTCAAAGTGAACTGGTTTAATACATTTTTTTTTTCATTTCTTTAAAATGAGCTCTTATTCAACAGGAGACAAAAATTTTTTTTTCAATTTTTGTGCATCAGAGCTTGTAGTCTGCTTTGTGGGATTACGTCTTAATACTAGGAACATTTCACTAGTGTTTCGTTCATAATTACGGCAGAATATGTATCTTTTTTTCTTTTGCTCTTTAAAAAACATTGACAGATGACTCATTAAAGACCAGGATTAGAGTGGCATTAACATTAACTGTAGGTAGGAGCTCSAGTTTCACTGTAGTGACGCATCTATTCAGCAATACTCACATTATTTGCTTTTTTCAACAATTCCGAGATTTTTCTGCGTACTGCATCAGTGATCAGAAAATCTTTTAAAACTGTGGTCTTTGTTAAATGTGAGTTATGTGAGTACAGTTAGCCTGTCTGTTTTCACAACTGTAAACTGAATAAATTAAAACTGATAATCATTAACTGACTGAATTTCATTCTGGGTTATAGTATCGGGATATAAAGAAGCACAAGAAAAGTGATGTAATATGCATTTTATTTACAAGAAAATGTACATTTTGTTACATGGGTTACCAGTGCAAGGTTTTATAACCTGAAAGAAAATTTAAAAAGGTGTAACCATTTTTTTTTTATATATAAAATTGTAAAACAGCATTGGAATTTTTCACAMAAACCCATTGAGACAACACACCATTAAAAATAAAAAATATGTGTTGAAGGTCTAAATAGGTTAAATGTTAACATTCAGAGAGCTGCTAATTGTCTTGTTTCTGTCGAGGAAAGACGTTGACAATTTTATAACCAAAAGACAAGGCTGTACAAGTTAACAGGCAGTATCTACACAGCAAACCACACAGGCAACCATCAACCAGTAAACTTCATGTAGGAATTCAACAGRTAAAGCTGTTCCAATTGAAAGGCAGGCTATCATACTAAAAAACAAAAYAAAAAGTTGGGGTATATATAGCAAGTAACCCAGATATAACAAGGTACATTAACTTTGAACAAACAACTGCTTCTGTCCCACAACAGCATTCTGCAGGAGTGAATGCCAAAGCACTACAGCTCACAAACTTAGCAACAGTTCGAGGACAAATATAATGAAAGGTTTTAAAAGGTGTGTCGTCATATCTGCGTTTTCTTGACTCCGGGTTGTTCATACTCCCAACAACAACAAAGGTCAACAGTCACGCCAACTCTGTTCAACAATAGCAGAAACCCTCTTCTCATACTCCCGTTTGTTTTCCTGGTAGAGCTGGGCTGCCTGGCTGTTGGCTGGACTGTTTGGGTTTGGCTCATCCAGTAAAGACTATAAATGTACAAAAGAAAGCATCGGTAGGTTAGCTTTCTAAGTAATATGTGTTTAGACAAAGCGCAGTTATGGTAGTGTATTGCGTATCATATCCTTAAATGTTTTACGTCGGCATAAAATGCATTTATTTTGTGACGGAATATTAAATTACCTGTATTGAAGTTAGGATTGAAGAGACATCATAGGTTGGACTCCAACGATTCTGAAGTATATCTAAGCATATGCTACCATCTGCATACACTGCAAAAGAGCACATAAAGAACATAAAGTCTGACATCTCTCCCAGAAAAAAAAAACATCAGTAATTCAAATAAATACTACATACCATTAGGATGAAACATTTTGGAGACAAATCGCACTGTTGGAGGCTTATTTGGATACTCTTCTGTGAATTCAATGGTAAGTTTGAAGGTTCCTGAAATTATAGATATCGTATTAAATGAAATGCATTTAGCTTAAATAGATTCATTACAACAGTTTAACTAAAAACAGTTTTTTTAACACACACACCTATAAACAGAAACAGCATCTTCACATGCAATGGTTAATAAATGTAAATGAAAAAAGCAACTTACCATCTTCAAAAGGTGTTCCCTCTGGTCTAAACAAACGAGCAAAAAAAAAAAAACAGCTTATAAATCATTCTGTGATAATTAACTTAAAACTCAAGTTATTAAAGGCACTTGCTCTAAAAACATTGCTGGGGTTTTATATACCAGAACAGCTGGTTCAAATTAAATTAAACAACTCATTACATAACACACAGGGTTTGTGTTTTTATTATTAAACAAACCAAAATGTAAACACTAAGCCCACTCCATAAAGCAACCAATAGCCCCAATAAATCAAATTATGTAGTTATCTATATGTCTTCTTCATATTTTATATGATTGTGGAAGATTTGTAGCGCACTTCTCTATAAAAAACGTTCTCGTTTTTAGATGTGCATAGCTCTTTTAAAAAGGAGCATTCGTGGCATTTCAGTCTGGCTGAGAATTCGATTTGGACAGTTATTCCTCTGAAGAACTGTTATTATATGTTGATTTTCTTTGARATTTGTTGCTGTGCTTGGGAATCTTGTACTTTTGAATGACCCGGTTTCATAAAACATTAGCTGTCAAATTCACGGCAGTGTGTCCGACTCTACAAAGGTTTTAAATACAAAACATGCAGAAGGCCCAAGTCCTTTGACCGCAAAACCAAGCMTAAAGTTGCATTAGCGCTGTTGGCCATTGTTTACAAAATGTTATTACTACTTTTCTTTTAATTACTTGTCTTTTTGACTTTTTTATTTTCCCACTAGTGTGACAAAACAAGTTTCCCCTCACAGAATCGCTGAAGTATCTGAAAAATCTATCGTGGAGGCATCTTTTTGGATAGCTTTACTGCATTTTCCAGCCAACTTCACTACTTGCATTGTCAAATCTCAACTTTAAGAGTTATAACGGAGACTTAAWAAGTCTGAGTTTTGTCTTTTTTTCCCCTAACATTAAATAATCAGATTTTAGGATGAGCCTGCTGGAATAGACACACAAAAGTGTGCTTAGTTATACCACACAATACCTCTGCGTTTTTAGTTTCATTTTGATAAATAAATAACACTGTCTGGTTTCTCATGTTTTGCTGTTCATCTCAGGTTGTACTTCTTTATTTCTGATGCATAAAAGAGTATAATAAATAAAATGTACACCTGTAAAGTAGATTTTAGCTAATAAAACTTACCCAAAAATGACAGCGTTCCACACCATGATATTGTTTTCTGATGGAGCCCCACTAACTCCAGCTGGAGGATCTTCTTGCAGCCTGAAAGATGCAAGAAAAACAGTCATATTAGGAAACATGCTGATTTCATACAAAGTAGACATACTTGCATTATGTTTCTTTAGTAGCCCAAAGGACTGCTAATTCTAAATATTAATAAACCAAAATAAGACACATAATGCTTTTTAACCAAGCTCCAGCCCTGGTGGTTTGCTAAATGACTAGGTAATACATTAATAACACTGCCACACAGAAATAACTGATTTTCATAATGGAATATGGTACCTACCTCCTTCATCTACTAGGTTCAGAGTTAATAAGGAAATTGTTCAATTATTAGTTGATGGCAATTGTGTTAACTAACAATGCAAAGTCAAGTTTTAATCGTGGGTCAAACCAGAATAAGTGTTTGAAAATGTGACCGTATCAGTACTATTTAACTAGAACATAGACTGTGGCCCAGCTGAATGTGCTGTGTCTGTGTGTGCTGTGTCTGTGTGTGCTGTGTCTGTGTGTGCTGTGTCTGTGTGTGCAGGTGTTTAGTGACCTCGTGGCAGATGGTTGCTGATCCTGAATCTAAGTGATGATCTATCAGGGCCTGGGCAAGCAGCTCACTTTATCACCGAGTGTTCCGACTAACCTGCCGGAACCTTTTGCCCACAAATAAACTACATCTGATAAGTCTTCAAAACTCATACGAATAACGCCATTATTAGTTTTACCACAAAAATCATATAACTATGGTTCATTTAAAGCGTACAAAGCGATCAGCGATCCTGAGTTGCAACACCAAATCGCTGTAACTTCCGACTTGTTTGCCTACGCCGGTAGMAGCAACATGTCAGATTACTCAACTTATTTTAAAACTTTAAAAATCARAAGGAGCTATACAGATCGAAAAAGAAACCGAGATAACATTTAGGCCTACTTATCTATAACTTAAAGAAATTTACTTTGTGGCTCTGTGGAGTTTAGTATTGCCACTTGAAGCTAACAAACTAGCTCCGGGATGTTAGCAATAGTTAGCTCAGATGTTTCCCTTAAACTTACCGTTTAAAGTCCCTCATTAAACGTCGTCTTGCTGGAGTTGACATCTTTTAACACAGACAACTAAATTTTTACTCAAACACTTTAGCGGCTCCAAAAAAGTAAAAAAAAATATACTATTAAATGTCCTCAACTCCTAGCTAGCCAGCAAACGACCGCTACTAGTTAGACAAATATGGAAAGCCCTCGCTGTCACAATCACGTGATCATTACGCGTCCTTTTGACGCGTAAACAACGCATAAACAAGGCGTAAACAACGCGACAATCACGCGTTGTTTTCGCGTCGAAATTTAACACGTTTTTGCCGAGTTAACTACGTGTAAAATACGTGTGAAGTACGCGCCACCAACGCGTACTTAATTCGTATGTTTATATTATGTCTGTTTGGGTAACTTCACTTCCTACACGGTTTAGGTCGCGTCTCTTCTCATTGGCTGTCAGGTTCAGGGCTAAACCACTTCAGCAGAAGAGAGGGGTGATTCCCAGGTCCAGGGCTAGACCACTTTAACAAAGAGTGGTAAAGAGACGGAGAAGCTACACTTCTGCTTGTATTTTAATTAAAAAAGCCTGATGTTTCTTTTACTTTTTAACAAAGTTATTAATAAACCTAAGAACTGTTCAATAAACCTGTTTCTGTTTCCTATTCCTTCCAAAATTGAGAAATGTATTTATTTTAAGGTTAAATGTTATTAGTTAAATTCTTCCCTTATTTTTAATGACAATGTTGATCATATATATATATATA